CCTCAGAGGAACTCTCGAAGTCNCATAAGGCATATGAACCATTGAATCCCACGAGGGGTGTACTGACTTTGACGAGGTCCTGTGTGCCAAGCCCCATACGCTTCAATACTTCGAAGTACATCACCTCAGAGGAACTCTCGAAGTCCACCAAGACTCTTTTAACGTCAAAGCTCTTGATCTTCAAGGTTAGGATCAGAGCGTCTTCATGGGGAAGGACCACGCTTGCTAAGTCGGCATTGGAGAAAGTGATATACTCCTTGCAAACTNTTGATCTTCAAGGTTAGGATCAGAGCATCTTCATGAGGAAGGACCACGCTTGCTAAGTCGGCATTGGAGAAAGTGATATACTCCTTGCAAACTCAGGGCCTTTTGTCCGGTCGGTCGTCACCCCTTTCGTCTACCCTCCTTGTGAAAGCTATTTTCTTCAGATCAAATCTGACAGTCTTGGACGTTGGGCGTTCCAGCGGACAAACGTGAATGACGTCGATCACGTTGCCCTAGACAGTGGTCTGGTTATTAGCACCGCAGACCTCTTTTGTTGTTTCGATGAACTCTTTCAGATGCCTGTCCTGTACTAGCTTTTCCAGGAAAGACTTGTAGGCCCTATAGTCCTCGGTTCGATGTCCAAAATCTTGGTGGTAAGCACACTTCACCTTTTGGTTTCGGGTGAAGGGATCACTCAACATCTTGGGTGGCCACTTGAAGAAGGCTTCCCTCTTGATTTTATGAAGCAATTTGTAGATGGATTCTTTGAACACAGTATGAACTCCTTTGAAAAAACTCTTCGTAGCCGGTATCAACCCTTTCCAGGGAGAGGCATCCTTTTTCTCCTTTCTCTTTGGGGCTAGAGCCTTTCCTCTACTACCCACCATCTCGTCCTTGATTCGAGAATACTTATTGATCCAGGCCATCAATTCTCCCATATCGCCCGACATCTTCTTGGTCAAGGATCGATAGAGCTCGGTGTACCGAGAGAGACCAAGCCTAAAAGAGGCTGCTGTCATGACCTTGAAAAATCCCTCCACCTCGTTCGCCTCCTCCTAGTAGCGAGCTGCATATTGGCGAAGAGTCTCTCCCTCTTTCTGTCTTAAGGTCAGCAGCAACCCGACATCTTTAGGTCGCCTACTCTCCGTGATAAATCAAACGGAGAACTGTCTAGTCAACTCCCTCCAAACCCCTACACTATTGGGTGGAAGGGTTTCAAACCATTTCATGGCAGAATCTCCTAGGCTCATCAAAAACACTCGGCATAACAACCGATGATNGAACGGAGAATTGTCTAGTCAGCTCCCTCCAAACCCCTACACTATTGGGTGGAAGGGTTTCAAACCATTTCATGGCAGAATCTCCTAGGCTCATCAAAAACACTCGGCATAACAACCGATGATCCGAATGGTATAGAGACATCATTTGCTTGAATTGTCTGAGATGGGCTTCGGGGTCAGACTGCCCATTGTAAACCGTGAACCTCGGCACTATGAATTTCTTGGGCACTTCCATCTCCATTATGTTTCGTGTAAAAGGGGATGGGATGACTTCATCGTCAATATCGTCCTCCTGCAGGGTTTTGTTCTTCCTCCGGGACTCCATTCGAGCTCTGAGATCCCTTTGTCCAGGGAGAACATCTTTACGTGCTTGGTGACGGGTAGGGTGGTCCCTCGCCTCGTGGCGGATAGAGAGGGTTGACCCTTCCTCGGACTCCTCCACGCCCCCCTCACCCAGACAGACTCCGATGGAGGTCATCCCAAGCCAACGACTTAGTCCGCTTGGTTGGAACCTTCGGGAGTTGTCCCCTGGCCCTCGAGCGTTTTAGGGCTCTAGAGCTTCTAGCCCTGTTACTCAAACGATGTCTCAGATCCTCAAGTTATACTTCCCTGACAAAAGGTTCCCGGGGCNTCACCCAGACAGGCTCCGATAGAGGTCATCCCAAGCCAACGACTTAGTCCGCTTGGTTGGAACCTTCGGGAGTTGTCCCCTGGCCCTCGAGCGTTTTAGGGCTCTAGAGCTTCTAGCCCTGTTACTCAAACGATGTCTCAGATCCTCAAGTTATACTTCCCTGACAAAAGGTTCCCGGGGCTTGACCGAATCTCTTATTCCTTGATCGGAGGTCGCAAACTTGTCCAGGTGGTGGAGGACGTTAACATTGTCCTTTTCTAGCTAGCATAGCCTATCACCAAACTTTTTCTCGATCACCTCTGCCAGTTGACGAGACAATGGGGTAAACCCTCCTAACCCAATACCCATGCTGGTTTGATGGGTTTCCTCCATTGTATGAACGGTGAGCACCTTGTTGGTACTTTCCGCGTAGTTCTTCGTCTTTGAACACAATTGGATCGGTAATTCGATATTCCTTTATTGAGAACCTTTTTTCCTTTTGTCGAGTATTCACCATGGTCACTGTTCTTTGGAAACTCTAGTCTCTTCCCACAAACGACGTCAGATTGTACGTGCTAAGTTTTGCACAATAGTTGAAATGGGAACAGATCTCTTCNTGCGTAGTTCTTCGTCTTTGAACACAATTGGATCGGTAATTCGATATTCCTTTATTGAGAACCTTTTTCCTTTTGTCGAGTATTCACCATGGTCACTGTTCTTTGGAAACTCTAGTCTCTTCCCACAAACGACGTCAGATTGTACGTGCTAAGTTTTGCACAATAGTTGAAATGGGAACAGATCTCTTCCACGATGAACTCTGGTTCGTCAAGAAGGAGGTTCTAACGAAATGGGAATAGGTTAAGAGGGACAAAGGAGGCTTAAGTCGTTGTAATAATCTGCTTTTGGGGTTATCCGATCTGTTGGGATTTAACACGCTTTAAACCCACAAACAAACACACACAATTGAAGAACAAACCAAGTAATAAGAAACAAGAAAGAACAAAACACAAATTTTACGTGGTTCGGNAGAAGGAGGTTCTAACGAAATGGGAATAGGTTAAGAGGGACAAAGGAGGCTTAAGTCGTTGTAATAATCTGCTTCTGGGGTTATCCGATCTGTTGGGATTTAACACGCTTTAAACCCACAAACAAACACACACAATTGAAGAACAAACCAAGTAATAAGAAACAAGAAAGAACAAAACACAAATTTTACGTGGTTCGACAATTTGCCTACATCCACGAAGCTGTAGGGATTTTACTATTTAGAGAGATAAATACAAAGAGCGGTTGTACAAAATACCATAAACCCTAATCACTAAAACAACGGATTTTATATGTCCTGCGCACTAGGCTACCAAATAGGTCCAAGCCTCAGAAAATTNGCAATTTGCCTACGTCCACGAAGCTGTAGGGATTTTACTATTTAGAGAGATAAATACAAAGAGCAGTTGTACAAAATACCATAAACCCTAATCACTAAAACAACGGATTTTATATGTCCTGCGCACTAGGCTACCAAATAGGTCCAAGCCTCAGAAAATTTTTCATTAAAAAATCACATAACATTATTTCAAGTCGGGTCATCATCCAGATCAACAGACAAACTAGACTTCACAAAGGCCCAACACGACCGACTCCGGGTGAGATTCGACCCGTCAGAACGATGGATCTGACAACAAGGAATAGGCTGAGAGGGACAAAGGGATCTTAAAGAGTGGTGATGAATTGCTGCTGGTGATGTCAAACTGATTCCGGAGACCCACAAGAAATTCCTGGAACACAGAGAACAAGTTAGAAGGGTGCTAGAGTGTTCTCCGGCGTATCCCCTCCGACGGTTAAGTCAGTTTTTTTTAGAGAAAAGGGGATGAAGGAATATTGTATGGCTCTTGTGAGGCAATATTGCTTACCTTTGCAACATATTTTTGCGGACTATTTATACTTTCTAAGGCTCATCATTGCTGACAATCTAGACTACTGATAACCTTCAAAGGTGGGACAGTGAGCCCCTTACTTTTGATGGGGAATGTCCCAGTATCGATTGCTCGGCTTATCGAGTATTTAATGGTCCTTCTTATTTGTGGCAGCATTAAAAGCCCGGATTCCCAAGCATTCAATGCTATAATTTTTTGGCTTATTAAGCCACAGTAAATGTCTTGTCAACTGATGGCGCATTAAATGTGCGTTTTTATTGGCCGCATATCAATAGGGACAAGCCTGTCTTTTTATTCCTTATATTGTACTCTTCGCCACGTGTTCTTTGGTTAAATATCCAATTTAATCTGTCACCTTGAATACTTTATGTAAGGTGTCCTTGCAGTCCCTAATTTCATTTAGGCTGTCCATCGGTCAGTCCCTAATCTCCACAGGAATTGAGAATTTATGAGCCGAAGAACAAGCATAAAAAATGGGTGGGCGAGATTACACAAAGCACCCTCGGTACTGAGGGGGCTTTTATTCTGCGGCGGAGGAATACGTATTGATACTGAGTTTTAAAACGGAGACCTCTAGGCATAGAACANAGACAGTGAGCCCCTTACTTTTGATGGGGAATGTCCCAGTATCGATTGCTCGACTTGTCGAGTATTTAATGGTCCTTCTTATTTGTGGCAACATTAAAAGCCCGGATTTCCAAGCATTCAATGCTATAATTTTTTGGCTTATTAAGCCACAGTAAATGTCTTGTCAACTGATAGCGCATTAAATATGCGTTTTTATTGGCCGCATATCAATAGGGACAAGCCTGTCTTTTTACTCCTTATATTGTACTCTTCGCCACGTGTTCTTTGGTTAAATATCCAACTTAATCTGTCACCTAGAATACTTTATGTAGGGTGTCTTTGCAGTCCCTAATTTTATTTAGGCTGTCCATCGGTCGGTCGCTAATCTCCACAGGAATTGAGAATTTATGAGCCGAAGAACAAGCATTAAAAATGGGTGAGCGAGATTACAGAAAGCACCCTCGGTACTGAGGGGGCTTTTATTCTGGAGCGGAGGAATACGTATTGATACTGAGTTTTAAAACGGAGACCTCTAGGCATAGAACACGTGGCTCTAATGGGCGAGAAAATTACTCGGGATTAAGGATACTTGTCACCGATCTAAATCACTCCTATAAATGTCCCATGAGCTATGAAAACCCTGATCTTGCTCTCTGCTATGGAACAATTTTGAGAGACTGCCCTCGTCATCAAGTCGTTGCAAAGTATATTCTGGATTCAGAGCACATGAAGGAGTTGTTCGATTACATACAAGACCCAAATTTTGGGNCAGCTATGAAAACCCTGATCTTGCTCTCTGCTATGGAACAATTTTGAGAGACTGCCCTCGTCATCATGTCGTTGCAAAGTATATTCTGGATTCAGAGCACATGAAGGAGTTGTTCGATTACATACAAGACCCAAATTTTGGGACTGCATCAGATGCAGTAGCAACCTTTAAAGAGCTATTGACAAGGCATAGATCAACTGTTGCTGAGTGTCTTTCAAGAAATTATGAGTGGTTTTTTGGGGAGTACAATTCAAAGTTGATGGGTTCTTCCAATTACATCACTAGATGGCATGCCGCCAAGTTGTTGGGGCAGATGTTGATGGATAGTGCAAATTATTCAGTGATGGTGAGATATGTAAGCTGATTGGATAACATGAAGCTGGTGATGAATTTGCTCAGGGAGTCAAGCAAGAACATCCAGTTGGAAGCATTTAATCTGTTTAAGCTTTTTGCTGCTAATCCAAATAAGTCTCCTGAGATAGTCAATGTCCTTGTCGCTAATAGAACCAAGCTCCTCCAATTCTTTGGTGGCTTCAGTTTTGATAAAGAGGATGAGCAGTTTGTTGCTGACAAAGCTAGAGTTGTGGAAGCAATTTCTACTCTTGAACGCTTGAACGCTTAAATCGTCCATGTGGTGCTTTAGACAAACATGAGAAAGACATCAGTATGGCATGCACTGTATAGAAATTCTTTTTGTAAAGTATCAGATAATTTCAGGAGAGTCTAGTTTTCAAATGTATTGTTTTTTATTGAGCTCTGGTGAGTTTTATATCAAGAGATAGAAATAGGAAAAAGATGTGTGAATTATGTTGCTGTACTCTTTAACACCAAAGTTTTGAATCGAGGAATTTCTGCAGAAATTTTTCTGAGATGCAGCTACTTGTTCCCTGTCTTGAATTGCTGCATGTCTTCTGCTATGTTTATACTTGCTTTAGATCAATCTACATATATCTTAGCAGCTCATTTTTTCATTGCCTTTTGAGTTGACAAACTGATATTTGAGATATAATAAGATAAGTTTCTTGAGTTTTCATCAAAGTTTCAACTTGAAAATTCCAGATTAGGTGCTATCGACCTTCACACGCAGCAGAGGAAGAAGCCTGAGGAGTCTCTTCCCCAGGTGTGTACATGGAATGAGATCCAAAATTATACCTGTTTAATGAACTTGGTGAAAACTGAAAAGCGAAATCCTTATGTGTTTTCTTAATGAAAATTGAAAATTATATTACCTGATTATTTTTTTTGGTCTACATAAATCTATGCCTGTGCCTACGCATAATAGGCTATTGTATGGGTTTTGCTGTTGGCAAATATGTTGAATGGCTTTCACTTTTTTTCCACTTTTAGAATACCCATTGTCACTTGTTTCATTTTTACTTAACCATACATTTCAATGGAGGGTTCTAAAGGAGAGTTATTTCTTATGGCAAGCACGAGTTTGGAGTACATCTGTGCTTAGTGCCTTTGACATGATTGGGTACCAACTGTAATCAAAATCTAGTTCTGCTGTTTATTCAGGTTGCATTAAAAATTGATTGTTATACATAGTGGATTGAGAGAGGTAAGTTCTCCTGTTCAGGAGGAGCTCNGTTTGGAGTACATCTGTGCTTAGTGCCTTTGACATGATTGTGTACCAACTGTAATCAAAATCTAGTTCTGCTGTTTATTCAGGTTGCATTAAAAGTTGATTGTTATACATAGTGGATTGAGAGAGGTAAGTTCTCCTGTTCAGGAGGAGCTCAATAATTATAGTCAGAGCAGAGCTCATCTGAACCTGTCACATTTTAAGGAGGATTCAAGACCGGATTTTATATTTTCATCTTAATTTAGGCTACTTACAAAGTTTGTTGAATGATCTTTGGAGATTTTCTGGTGTTAAGCATGGGTTCAGCTGTTTGGTTCATACTCGTGTTTTATATCTTGAAGAGATCCTAAATTTTGTAAATACTGAAGTACGATGCCCAAATGGATCTCATGGTATGCACTTGGACCTTGAGATTAAGCTAGCAGACATTGGATTCTTTTTTTCCTTTGCTTGTTTTTGCAAAGGTACTTGAAACTAGAGAAGAAAAGATAGCTCCAAGGACATTCCTTGGAACAACTCACACACACAATGCTCTGTTCCTTAACATTGAGTTTAATGTTCCTTTAGTCTTTGCTACCTACAGGTGTGTGATATGCACTGTAGTGCAAGCTAGACAGCAGCCAAAAGGGTAAGGAGATCTGATTGCTTGTTTCTTCTTTTTAAACCAAGAAGAATTTGATGCTTGTGTATGTGGTCATTTATTCTTGAATGTGTTTTTTTTAGCTGATTTTGCATTTTGCGCTGTCTCCTACATCTGTATTTTTCCTCTTCTGGAACAAGTTTTTATCCGTAAAAGGCTGGGTGCAAGTGCCACCTTGACTTGGCTGTTACTGATCCTTAAGCTCATCAAAATTTCAATATGCAATGTGTTGTGAACTGTTTTGTTGTGGCCCATTCTTACAATTTTTTCGAGGTTTTTGGAAAGAGAGTAGATGATGCTTCTTGGAATTTTCCTTGGCATTCTTCACCATGAATTCTTCATGAAGAATATCATGGTTATCAGATCATCAGAAACAGTGGCAACCGTTAAAGAATTTTTAAAGCTGGTGAGAAGTGAGCTCATTGGACAACTTGAGGATCCTGATAAATCTGCTCAATGATCAAAACAAGGCCATTCATATCTAGGCATCTCGTTTCTTTAAGCATTTTTCTCTTAATCAAAATAGGTATCTTGAGATAATCAATGTCCTTTTCACAAGTCAAACCAAACTCCTCAGATTCGTTGGCGACTTAAGGTTTCCTAAAGAGAACCCATAAATCAATGTGTGGTCTCACAATAATTCCATATGTGCAATACTAATGTATCTTAAGGTGTATTAACTTTTATTTCTTTTGAAAACAACAAATTTTGGCCCCTTACAACTATTATGATAGTGTAGAAATATTAGTGGCGCCTTAAACAAAATATACGCACATTAACTTATATTCCTTAAATTAGATTATGTATGTTGTGAGCTTATTGTTAATCATTATGTTACTAATGTTTCTTGGTTATGGTGAGATAAGATCCATAATCGAGGTATAATTCTCAATCTTTTGTTCCCTGGAAAATTTCTGGCCCGTGCTTGTTTGCTGCCCATGTTTCTACCACTTGCAGAAAAGACCCATTTATGCTGGTTTTAGTCATCACAAATCATGACGAAGTGAATTTCCTGTATCAACTGATTGATTATTTCTTGCAAAGGAAATACTCTGTTTCATAGCTGACTTCTGCCCCTCCTTTCATTATTTCAATTATGATTGATGTCTTTCCTGTAGGCAAAAATATCAGGTTTATATTTAGCACTATTGTAACCATTCACTCTGCTCATAACATGCAAATTGAGAGTAGAAGCCTCAATTTAGTCAAGAATTAAAAGCACCAAATGTTTCATAATTTTGAAGGTTCCGGATGTCAATCAACCTTCCCAAGCAGCTAGGAAGAAGCTCAAGCAGCTTCTTTCCCAGGTGTGTATATCACAGGAGGCATCATCCTTTTCCCCCAATNCAAATTGAGAGTAGAAGCCTCAATTTAGTCATGAATTAAAAGCACCAAATGTTTCATAATTTTGAAGGTTCCAGATGTCAATCAACCTTCCCAAGCAGCTAGGAAGAAGCTAAAGCAGCTTCTTTCCCAGGTGTGTATATCACAGGAGGCATCATCCTTTTCCCCCAATGGTGCTTTTCCACATCCTGGAGATTTCATTTTTTCCTTTCCTTGTTTTGTAAAAGTACTTAGAAGTAGATGCTGTCCTGGGAAACGTGGTAAATAGAGTGAAGATCAAAATTTTATTTGCTTACGATTGTGTTCTAACTTTTTTATATGCCTAACTTAATTTAGTTGATGACTGAGATGCGCATGGACAGATAATTATGCCAATTCCAGCCAAAGCCACTAGTGGGATGCTTTTGAAGCTTAAGTAATGTGTGAAATGCTATGATGCTGGTCATATTGGTCTTACGTGTTGACAGATGGACTGGCTTTGTTCCTGGGGATGCAGTTGAGTACTTGAAGGAACTTCTGCAAAAGATCAATGATTCCAAAAATGTACAGGAGTCAATCCCTTCTGAATCTTCTTTGATACTTACCACAAGCTTCATCCCCACTGACACCATCTACCCTACCCCAAGGAAGAAATTTCTCCAATCTTGGCCAAGCCCAACTCGACAACCTGCAAGGATACAAGACTCATTCTTCTAGCTGCACTTATTGGTTGAATTGGTACTTATTTCTTCTTGATGCTGCATCTGGGGATGTGACATTCTATTTANGGGAGTCAATCCCTTCTGAATCTTCTTTGATACTTACCACAAGCTTCATCCCCACCGACACCATCTACCCTACCCCAAGGAAGAAATTTCTCCAATCTTGGCCAAGCCCAACTCGACAACCTGCAAGGATACAAGACTCATTCTTCTAGCTGCACTTATTGGTTGAATTGGTACTTATTTCTTCTTGATGCTGCATTTGGGGATGTGACATTCTATTTATTGTTAAACTTTAAAGGTGTAGCAACTAGTTAGTGCTCTGCTAAATTATAGGAGAGTTTTTCAATTGACACATTTACTATTTTGCTGTCAAGACAGTTGACGTAAGGGTAAGAGAAGGAAAATCTTTAAATATCCATACGTTTTTTTGTGGCTGCAGACCAGGTCTCTTGCTTTCAACTCCGATGCTTCTGGATGACCTCAGGCTAGACATCCAACAATCTGTTGTTTGCAGCTTCAATGAGTTCACATTGGCTATCTTCCAAGATGAGGTGATCTTTCCGTACTTGTCTTTATATGTGACCTTGGACCATAACTTTTTAGGAATAGTTGAACTACGCAAGCTTAAAACTGTGCACACATAAGCATTACCTGTTCTCTCCATTCCCTACCCCCGAGAGTTGGGGGAGAAAAGAAAAGAAAAAAATGCTTTACCATGTAAAACCAGATGGAGAATTAAATTACGCGCAGACTAACACATTTTTTATGTGACACAAAGACCTATATTTAGGACAGAGCTGGGTTCCATCTTTCGATGGAAATCATATAAATTCATATTCATAAAAAAAAAAAAAAAAACATAGAAATGGATCAACGATAATACAACTGATTATGTAGCAGCTGGGATGTCACTCTGTTTTTGGTTTCTCAAGTAGGAATATTATTATTTACAATTGCAACTAGGAGAAATCTCGTGCTAGAGTTTTTAACTATTTGTGTTGCTTATAATTGTTTATGGACATTTCTTATTAGTGATTGTGAATAGTAGAGTTCTTGTTCCCTCTAGACTGCTAGTTATTTGGGCTTGTTTTGTATGGTTGTTGGTTGTGATGTGAAATAAAGAAAAAAAAAGCTTCTGCACAACATAATTTTCGTTGCATATCAGATAAATCTACATATTCAACTCATTCTATCCTCTTTGATCCTATTCCAAGGCGAGGGAATTTGACTTGTATCTTTCTATACAAAGTGGGAGTACTTTACTCTGAAGTTAACTAAAAAGAGCTTAAAAAAGAGTTCCAACTATGGGCTGTTGCCCTGTTAAAGTTCCCTGTAACTACAGTTTTCGTTCCTTCTCTGATCCTAAAGCCCGAAAAGAACAGTTTTTTCGTTTTATCTGATCCCGGACTTGCCTGCTTGACTTGTGAAATCCGCTTTCCCTAAATTAGATAAGGAAAAGGAAAGAAGAGATCTCTAAGCTTTAGCCTTACAACAAGCTAGCACAACTGAACTACCAAAAACAGCTTGATCGATATGAGCTGACTACCGAAACAGAAGGTGGTTACTGCGGTGACCAAGCTATGACTGCTACACGTGCACGCAACAAGAAAAGGTTAGATAGATTAGTGAGCCTAGCTGCCCTTCCCGTAACTACCAAAACTACCTGTCTAGCATACGGAAAAGAAGGAATTCTCTGATCTACCTACCTCACTCGGCTAGAAACATAAGGAATTCTCTTTGATAAACCGCTTGAATAAACGAAGAAAACGTAAGTGCGCTAACGCGCACCCTATCTAAGTCAACCTTTCGAGCCCCTTTACTTTACTAGTAAGGGTGCTTGGTTTAAGAAAGGAAATGAGGTGCTAGTCTCCATTGATCACTTTCTTCATTGGAAAATCCTACAAGGATGCAATTTGGCGCGATGTCGTACCTATAACGGACCGAACTAACTGACAATGTTATGCTGTTGAACTCATAGATAATGCTACCCCCTTTACTTCATATAAATAAAATGTTTGACCTGATTGCTATTGTGAATTACAATATGAAAATACAACCAATGGTATTGCTCACTGATACTTAAATGAAGTCCTAAAGCTATTTTACAGCTCCGACTCTTGCATTTCTGCATAATAGAGTACTTTATGATAGCGGAGTTCAAATGAACACAAAGTACTTTCTGTACAATTTTTCCATTTTTAACTTTTATTGAATAGAAAATTTAAAATTTATGGATTCGGGTGGAAAATTGATCTGAAGAATTCTATATCAATAAACTGAAGAATTTATGTACTAGGCCGTACTTCCTTCAGAGAATGTCCATTGAATGAATTCTGAAGATGTTTCCAAGCTGTTTTGCTTCTGTCTGCATAACTTGTTAGTTGCTACCTTATCTGTTAAATGGATTTTTTACTCAGTTATTTGTCATTAGGAGTCAAATTAAATGGTTTTCTCTATTCAGTGTATCAGTATAGTCTGCCTGACATCCGGCAAGCTGAATTTTGGAGTTTGAGAAGACTCTTAAGTTGCGAACTACTACATCTTTGTGACTTTAATTTGGGGAAGCTCAGCCAAAAGGAAATCAGAATACTTAGGAGCTAGTACCTAAGATAAATTATGCCTAGAAGCACGTATCCTTCTCTTCCAAACATTAATTTAGGATTGAATGATTGGGATGAGTTGAATACTGATGTTTATAGTGGAAGTAAATAAAATTGGCAAAGACCATGGTTGAACCTATACTCAGAATTTTCGTCCACCAAGAATAACAAAACATGGGAATGTGATGTTCTGCGCCTTTTAGGACACTGTTTTGGGGGAATATCATCATTGATATCTGTGGCCAAAGCTTTTTGGAATTATTCTGTTGGAATACATTTGTGTGTGTGCTGGCGTGTTTAAACAAGAGTAAGAAAGGGTAAAGTTTGGAGTCTGGACTTTAAATATGAAAGCCAATAAGATCATTTGGGGTCTGTTCTGGAAGCTGTGAACAATGCCCACAGCATATAACCACAGGCTTTAGCGGCTAATTAAAGTGAAATGACCCTAGAATCACATCTGAAGTCAAAATTGCATAAACCAATCTCCAAATATCATAATAGCAGATTTCTCTATATCTTGTTTGGATGATGCCTAGGTGCTGAATGGTCGCCTATTAAGAATATGCTGCCCTGCCCTTTATAAAGACAACTGTGTTGCAGAAGGGAGGAGGGCACTGTTGTCATCTAATAAAACTGATGCTGACATCTTTGAAGAGGTAAACACTCCTATCAATTTATATTATCCAATCACTTCTTTTGTGCATATATTTTTCAAGGCAATTGCATTTGTTTTTGTCACACAGGCATGCTTATACTGCTGAAATCACTGAAGATGCATTTTTTCAAATTTGTTGTACCAATTTGTTTTATGCTTATATTTGTCAACGTACTGATACATTTGAGTGTTTGCACACGCACACGCACACGCACACTCGCTCACACACACATACACAGACAGAGTATTACACTCCTGAATAAATTGAATATGTGTTTTTCCAAATTCATNTCGCTCACACACACACACACAGACAGAGTATTACACTCCTGAATAAATTGAATATGTGTTTTTCCAAATTCATTGCATGTGCAGATGCAGATAAGTTTCTTGGTGGATGCTCTTAAGTTTGTTTTTTCCTCACCTTAACGTCATGTAATCAAGTTGCTGCTCATATTATTCTAGCACATCTTTACTCTATTTTATCTACTACATTTTCCTTGTTTTTTCCTTATTCAACTCATATGATAGTCCCTCACAAAACCTTGAAATATTTAAGATTGGTGCACAGATTAATACTCATGGAACAGATTAATACTCATGGAACAGGTGGATCTTTTTGATCTAATAGATGTATAAAGCAGCTCTTTTTATGNACAAAACCTTGAAATATTTAAGATTGGTGCACAGATTAATATTCATGGAACAGGTGGATCTTTTTGATCTAATAGATGTATAAAGCAGCTCTTTTTATGAGTATCGCTTAGTCAGGAGGGCCAAAAGGGCACCATGGGGATCGTGTGGTGACTCGNTGAGTATCGCTTAGTCAGGAGGGCCAAAAGGGCACCATGGGGATCGTGTGGTGACTCGTTGTGGCTCTGGTGCTCCTGGTGGGGTTTCAGCAAAGAAATACGGACTAGCTACTGCAAGAGTGCCAGACCATTTTCAGTCCATTTGCATCGAGAAAAATAAATCCTACAGAATGGGGATATACCTTAAAGAATTGCTGAAACAAAGTTTTTGTAATGCTTAAAGTTGCAACTTTTTTAGCACAACAAAGCAGAATTCTTATACGCTTAATTAATCTAAGTTCAGGGTATTCCTATTATAGGCATTGCAAGTTTAAGGCTTTCATTTACTTGGAATATAGACTAGGCATGGGCATACCTGCTGGCCACCATTGAGATGTTTAAGAGTCAATGTCCTCTGGGTCATACCCTTCTGTGAATATGTGTAATCAGAACCTCTGTCATTTATGCTACTGAAATGATCTGTATGTGATGCATTAGCTCCCACACAGTTCTTAGTATTTCTGTCAAAATTGAATAATTTTATTATCTTCAGGTTCAGGAAATCATGGACAGTTCATATAATTGGATCAGGTCCTTGGGGTTCCACAAAGTGGGACCATTAGATTTGTTGTTTCTTTGGAAATCATGTCTGTCTATATTTGCTCTCCAAGCATTTGTTGGTGTTATCTGTATGGATGAACTGATAGCAGAATATAATAATTATGAAATGTTTGGTTCACATGAATTGTTCAGCATATTTTTCATCTAAATTTCATATGTGATTTTGGTTAAAATGTATTTGCACTCATTTTTAAATTCACACGACACAGCTAGCAAATAAAAAAAGATATTGGAAGTTTTTACCATCTCACCATGATTTTCAAAACTTTTTCCTTAAATACCATGATTTCTAATTTATTTTCTAATCTATCCGTGAGTATATGAAAGCTGGTTTCAACTCATCTTTTTCAATGTAGAAGTATGTATGCAAAACACATTTTTAATAAAAAAACTTGTAAAAGCGTATTTTGCAAGACCTGCTTTTACATCGAGAAACTGGATCGAAACCACGTTTTTCATACAAACTATGATAAAATAGGACATAAGGTAAAAATCACGGTACTTAGATACAAAAAATTTGAAAGATGCAGTAGAGGAATTGATTCAAAGATATTGAATAGCACATAAAAACAGTGACGAAATAGATGTATATAAATATATATGTGTGTGTGTGTGTGTGTGAGTTGGTTGTTGTTTACTGTGACCTGGGCAGGGACACCGGGTGTTCTCACAAATCAGTTTAGGATTGGATAGTGAATAAAAATGTCTGTCCAGGTTATATGTTTCTAGTGATCAAGTGCAGATTGCAGGGGGAAGCACAGACATGGTACTCCTACAGATACTGTTACCACTGAGAAAGCACTCATCCATTTGCTTGGTCCAACTAACAAAGGCTCCAAAACCAAGAATGCATTAAATTATATTATGACAGTCCCCACCTCCATCAATTCATGGGGGCTCACTTGCATTACTCTACAATATCCTCTGTTCTTCCCATATCTCTGCATCAGACTCTAGTTATTTTAAATGGTATTTCTTGGTCAACACAACCTTGTTTAGATAGAAATACTATGAAAACCATGGTTTTGTCTGTAAATTTTGAATTTCTTATCTGTTTTGTGATATTTTTGGAATAATTGCAAGCTGCCACAGCTGTTTGTTCTCTAAGTGTTCCAATGGTTTCATTCTGTATTATTTTTTTTGGCAGGAATCATCAGAACCAAGCAATGTGGCTTCTGTTGTGTTGGTACTGGAGTATGCTGAGTTGAGCACATAATTTGTTGCTGCAGGATTTTGAGTCACAGCTTCAGATTGATGTGTCACTTTTTAATTATAGCAATTTTNGTATGCTGAGTTGAGCACATAATTTGTTGCTGCAGGATTTTGAGTCACAGCTTCAGATTGATGTGTCACTTTTTAATTATAGCAATTTTAATCATTAGAAATAGTGGACAAGGAGTGAACAGAAAGAGATACCATATCAAAATTTACACTTTAAGGTCAAGTTATAAATTTTTAGGGTGTAAGTTACAACTCAAAAAGTCACGACCAAACATAAAATGTTGTGATTGGTCATAAATAGTTGTAATTTCATCTTTAAAAAGTATAACTTGACTTTCGAGAATAAAAATTTTTGGTATAGTACTAAAAAATTTTTTGGGTATTGTACTCATTTTCTTAGAAAAGATTGATAATACAAGAAACTAAAAGATGCCTTTCCTAGAAGAGGGTTCATACCATATAAACTACCATGGTATACTACCATATAAAGTCCATCGTATATTGGTTTTACAATTGCATATTTTCATAAATACTTTCATAATTTTTCAAGGAAATATTAAAATCACGTTTATAATCTAAGAGATGAGAAACATCCGGTTGAGTTGTGGTTCAGCCCACATCAATCATGTGGTAGGGGAAAGTGCCTTGCCACTAGGGTGAACCCGTAGAGTCGATTTGGCACCATTTTGATCAATTGAAATATGTAAATTCTTNTAAACTACCATGGTATACTACCATATAAAGTCCATCGTATATTGGTTTTACAATTACATATTTTCATAAATACTTTCGTAATTTTTCAAGAAAATATTAAAATCACGTTTATAATCTAAGAGATGAGAAACATCCAGTTGGGTTGTGGTTCGACCCACGTCAATCGTGTGGTAGGGGAAAGCGCCTTGCCACTAGGATGAACCCGTAGAGTCGATTTGGCACCATTTTGATCAATTGAAATATGTAAATTCTTCACAATGTTTAAAATCGAAGGTACTTGGAAACACTGAAAATCAATTTTGTAGTACATGAGACTTAGGTCTATGTATATACATAAAGTCTGTGGACATGGGAACAAGGAGTCACGTGAACTGCTCACAACCAAGCAATGTTCAGTCAATTTTAGCTATATTTGGGTCTCGTGGGGTGACGTGGTACATGCACCAAGCAGGAAAGATTGGAGGGGTCCCCATGGATCCTGGATAGCACCAAATCACATTCTGGGTCAGGATGGGTCCAAGTGGCAAGCAGCCATTTCTTAAAGTTTGGCCACCGGGACCTACATGGAAAACCAACTCCAATTTGACAAGTGTAATACATATATGTATATCCAACTTCTGAAATGCACTGTAGATTTGGATGGCTCTGTTGATCTTGTATGGCTAAAGCAAAGAATCAAAATCACTCACTTCACATCATGAGCTATTTGTCCTTTATATTACAGATAGACACTCATCCAATCCCATTATGCACCCTCACACTCAATCAACCCCATTATACCCCCACTCATTGATGCAATTGTACTGTCACTCTGGTTAAATTTGGTTAAATTGAATCCCTATTTGTGTGGTTTTAATGAAAGTAATACACAAATAATAANTTGTACTGTCACTCTGGTTAAATTGAATCCCTATTTGTGTGGTTTTAATGAAAGTAATACACAAATAATAAAAAAATTAAGATACCTCATAAAAATAGATAATTTTACCCTAATTTTTAGGCTCAAACTAATGACTAATCTCTTGAGCGGAAAAACATTACTCTATATTCAACCTGTAAAAATCTTTTTATAGGTAGTTAGAAAAAAAAAATGGTATACAAACTCATAAATTGATATAAAATAAAATATAAAATAATTTAAATTTTAAAATATAAGCAGAATAATTTTTATTTTTCGCGATTGAGATCTCTTTAAATTTTACTTTAAAGTTAATTTGATAATTAATATTAACTCCCTAAATTTAATAGGAAAAATAGGCTCTCTAAGGGTGTGTTTGAGGTGACTTTTCAAAAATATTTCTAAAACTTAAAATTTCTCATAAACACCTTAAAGAAATNGTTTTATAGGTAGTTAGAAAAAAAATGGTATACAAACTCATAAATTGATATAAAATAAAATATAAAATAATTTAAATTTTAAAATATAAGCATTGAGATCTCTTTAAATTTTACTTTAAAGTTAATCTGATAATTAATATTAACTCCCTAAATTTAATAGAAAAAATAGGTTCTCTAAGGGTGTGTTTGAGATGACTTTTCAAAAATATTTCTAAAACTTAAAATTTCTCATAAACACCTTAAAGAAATATATATAGTGTTTGGAATTGTCCCACCATCCTCATCGCCCCCCACCGGCCTGTCATCATTACTACCATTACCATCACCGCCACCACTTCCACCTCTACCACAACCACCACCGTCGCCGCCACTACCACCACCGCCGCTGCTGCCACCACCATCATCATCGTCACTGTCCCACCACCACCACTGCTACCCCACCACCACATTTGCCACAACAATCATCACCACCGTCACTCCACCACCACCTCTGTCATACTACCACCACCATTGTTGTCGCCACCTTTCCACCACTGCCCCCC